TGGATCATGCAGGTCGCACCGCACGCTTTCACAAAGGCCGAGATTGCGGGGACGGACAAGAAAAAGGATGCAAAGGCTGCGGGAATGACGGAGGTGGGGAATGGGGCGTTGGATGGGCAGAGAAAGATGCCAAAGGGTGCTGGAGCTAGTAGAGAAGCTGTGGGACATTGAGTCTGAAGATACAGGAATGTCTTTTGATATTTGTAGTATACAAAGAAAATGCAAGGTATTTCCGTCCATGCTGGATATGATCCCCACGCAATCAGTAGCACGCCGTTTCGCGTCTCATCTGCCTCAATGTCCGCGCTTGTCGCGAAAAAAGGCACCAGTAGCAGCTATGGACGGTCCGAATCGATCAAAGGTCCTGGTCGAGTCTCGAATCCCTGTGCATGGATCAGCGAGTCGGACAATGTGAGAGGGGGGAATGAAGGGAGTGCTTGCTGCGTCAGCGTAATGTCGGCAAGAGACGCGCAAGGAGGCGAGAGGGGTGGGTGGGGGGCAAAAGAAGGGGAACTGACAACCTGGTAGACGGGCGCGTATATCCGCACGAGCGAATCGCTTGTCGAGCAGGATCAGAGCGGCCTAGGGAAGAACAAGAGGGGGGTTGGGTCAGCGAAAAGTCCAGAGGGAGCAAGATGTCCTCGGAGAGGGAGCAGGCGGAACACCAGCTCACATAGTCTTTCTGGTGACGTATCGCTCTCCCTGCCATCACAAGAGCGTGGGCGCATCAGCGTCGGGAACTTTCTGGCGCCGTAGCGCCGGGAGGGATTCGGCACACCTGCTTACCGATGGATTGATTGACGGCTTTCATGCACAGATTAATGTACAGTTCTTGGCCCTGTTCGGCGAGCATGATAAAGGATCAGCGAATGACTAGACTGATGGGCACGCAATCACCCACGAGCCTGTCATCTATCTAACTTACAGCATCCTTCTCTGTCGACGCTACGTCCAGTGATGAAGTCTTGGCCAAATTTCGTACGTAGCTGCAGGAGATTTTGCAGCATGTCCGGTCAGCATCCCGATCATTTCGTCAGCTCTTGTCAATGCCCTGTTCAGATGTATGACCCCGCTCGCTCTCGAAGAGCTGCCAGCTCAACTCACTTCATGCGCTCTTTGAGCTCCACACTTGCAGCATTGGCAAAGGGCATGCCGACCATGATGACCGCTCTAGCCAATCTGTCCGAAAAATTGATTCCCTCTGAAAGCTTCGCGCCCACCACGGCCAGCAGCATGGAGCCCGTCCTTGCCGGTACGCCCTGCATGAACCAGGCCAATCGATTGCAACTATCAGACAGAATACGTCCTCCTCGATCGCCAGTGCCATGTCGCTCGTTTCATTCTGCAAACAGTCGACGTACTCACCCCAGTCAGCATTTGGTCCGCTGCATCGATCGCCGCTCTGTATTCTTCAAGCACCCGATCCACATCCGCCGCATTCTTCGGTTCAAAAAAGATCTATCAAGGCGTGTCTGGGGTCAGTCAACAAATCGACTGCCTTGAACGACATCCTATCCTCTCCTTGCAAAGGTCAAGTCGCAACGAGATCACAGCGCTCTCACCTTCTTTTTATTGCCCAATCTATTCAGCGCCCCACTCTCTTTCCACCTACGCGTCGCGCTTTCCAAAAAGGCGTAGCTGGGCAAGAAGACGACAACGCCATGCGGTATGACATTGCAGTAGTTGGAAAGAGCATTGGCTAAATCGTCCAGCTGAACATGTTGGGCAAATGCAAGTGAGGAGGTAATCGAATGGCCATCCAGGGAGGACGAAGAGGCATCGCAACATCGAGCGAGGCAAATTGAGAAGCAGATGGATGAGTCTTGTCAAGAACGTGGTTCATTGTGAGACTTTTAAGCTGCCTATGATATGTGACTCACAACGTTCATGTCGCCCCTAGAATCATACTTGAATTCAAACGTCGTGCCTCTAGGTCCGCTAGGCACGATGGCCGCGAGCAAGTTGTCGGCGGGGATGATATGTCCACAGCTAAATCTGTGGAATCTTTGCGGGTCGATGTGCGGAAAGAGCTGTGTGGTAAAGTCTGAGATCTAAGCAGCGCCAAAGGCACCAGTCAAGAGAGGCTTTAGCTTTGCAAGTCGATGATAAGCACACATTGGCCTTCGTGTACAGGAGGAAATGGACACTCACAGGCTCCATCGTCCCTCCAGCAAGAATGACCGATCTAGCCTTTTCAAGAATAGGTTTGAACGCTTCTTGAGGGTTGAGTAGCTGATACCGCAGATGGACCACGCTCTGTCTATTCCGCTCTGAATCTCGCTGCCTCTGACGCAAAGCAGCGCTCGCGCTCGCGCTCGCCGCACCGACTCCGTGGGGTCTGTCTGGCGTTCCAGAGTGGACAGCAAATGCCGCTTCATGCTGGATCTCTTCGATCGAGATCAACACTCTTCCATCTTCGTTGTTGTTTGAGAGTGCGAGTATGAACGACTGGATGGCGTGCATGCAGCTGATTGCGCTGCGAGCCGTTGGTTCCTCCGCATTGCCCGCTCGAGCTTTCGTGGCTTGTTTGTCTGCATACCCGCTGACCTGGTCGTGATGCGGATGAAGACTTGGAGAGTTAGCGTACCTCTCTTACAGTTCGGTCGAGGCAGGTCGAGGGTAGTCCAGGGAAGGATCGCGCGCGAAAGAAGCTCTATTTGCGCATCAGCATCACTCATCAGCTCACCTTTCTAGCAATCTGAGATTGTCTCAGATGAGCGTGCAAAGCGACCAGATTGATCTGGTCGAGAGTTCCTCCAATTCTCTTCATCACTTCAGCGCCTTTCAACATCTGTTCCTGCTTTCCGCCCTCCTTCCCACTCTTTGCTCTGCTTGCCCACTCGCGCGCAAACTTGAGCAGAGCTTCAATGACCGTTCTGAATTCCCTCAGTCTGACCTCGTTGACGCCTTTGAGTCTCGATGCGAATTTCTCGAGGTACGTATGGATCTGCTCCTTGGCCACGCGTAGCATAGCCTCATCCACGTGTACCTTGCCTCCCTCCAACACCGTATCGATGACATTGTGCGCCTCATCCAGCACCACCACTGCCCCGTCCAACCTTGTGCCCAGAGTTTCTCTCGAAGTCTGACTGAGCAGCAAATTGTAAGGCAAAGCCACCAACTGCGCGGTCCGTGCAGCTGCGCGTGATGCGTAGTAAGGACACACGCCCATCTCTTTGCCCAGCACAACCAAATCTTCCAAGTCCGAGACGCGCGAAAAGGCTCGATCGCGATAATCCAGAATCTGCGATCGGCCTTGCGCATCCTGTGCAGGCAGGTATTCGCAGCGCTTTTTGCCTTTGCCTGCTTGCGTGAGTGAGCGAGCGAGCGAGCGAGCATGTGAGGGAGTGAGGCAGTCGAGCAACGCAGCGATACAGAGGTGGACGAGGGAGATGTGAAGACAATGTCAATCGCGATAGCCACAACGCTGCGCACATCAGCGGGTCGCAGCACTCGTGCGCGCGTACGCACCCTTTGCCAGGTCCCTGCACTTTTCGTTCATAGCCTCCATGCCCTTTGTCTCTCCCGTACGTATGACCTCTTCATTGATGCACATCTGTTTCCTGCTAGCCAAACAGACGCATCTCGTATTCTCCTCTTTCACCTGCTCCTGCCCCTCGTCTCGCTTCCCCTCGCTTTCCATCCCACCCTTTCCGAACCTCGTCTTCTTGACCTCTGCCACAAATTGCATCAACTGCGAGTGCGTCCTACTAGCATAAAACACCTGCGGTACCGTAGCAGGTTCATCTTCATCCTCCTCCTTCATCGCAGATCCCCATGTCGGACCTCCCTTGCGCGCCGATGATGATCCACTGGCACCAGCTCGTAGTTGAGCCAAGAGCGCTTGAACTTCGGAAGAGAGAAAAGCAGAATCGTCGGATGGGATGGGACGAGATGTTTCGTCTCCTGAACCGCTGGAGAGCAGGTAGGAATCCGATTCGGATTCGGATGCGGCGTCGCTTGTCGTCGTGGGGCGCTGCGAGGGTGAGAGGAGGACTCGAAAGCGTGAGCCGAATGAAGTTCACGTCGCCGGGATGCGACGCTGTGCAGTTCCATCTCCCATCCAGCACCAGCACCAGCACCTCACTCACCCGCTTCTTCTTCTTGTTCCACTTTGCAGCATTCTTCCTCTCCATCGCCATCGAAGAATTCTTTTCCCTCTGCTGCGCTTGCCGCGCTCTAGCTATCCTCTGCCTTAGCTCCACCTGACCCCTCTGCTCGTCCGCTCTCGCACGGGCTTGAGCGTGCGCTCGAACCCAGTCCGGCTCAGCATCATCAGTGGCGCTGGTGGCTGTGATGCTGGCCATCGAGGTCGAGGTCGATGCTGGACGTGAGGGTCGCAAAGCAGAGGAGCATGAGCATGAGCGCGAGCACGAGGACCAAACACCCTTCACCCTTGCATGCCCGCACGCATACACGCACCCGAGCACACCGATACTATACTCACCAAGCTCGTGCGCCTGCGAACTCTCCAGCACACCCAACGAACCTCTCTGTCCATTCCTCTCAAGCCAAGTAAGCGTCGCGCAGATCAAGCTCAAGCTTTTGCCCGTGCCCGTAGGACTTTCCAGCACCGCCACTTTACCCTGTTCCACGCATTCGAAAATGTTTCGCATGAGGTCCAACTGGATCGGATAAGCTTGCGGATAGGGGAATGAGAATTCTCCAGAAAGCGTTATTGCGCTCGAGCTGGAGGGTGTGCGGAGGGAGAGGTGAGAGGCTTTGGAAGTGCTATCATTGCGGGAGAGCATGAGCATCGAGTTGCTAGTCCTGCGCTCAGGCTGGGCGTGGGAGTGGGAATGCGAGTCGAGGAGAGACTGGCTTGCGTGAGCTCTCTTTTGCCCTGCTCCCGAGCCCGCTTGTCCTCTCCCGCTCAGCTCCATCGTCATGCTGAACGCATACAGATGGTCCAGGCCGGTGTGCGGCTTGCGTTCATTACGTGGATGTGGATGTAGATCTGGGGCGAGCGGGGTGATGAGGTGTGAAGGCGTGCCGTTGATGAGGAGGGCCGAGGAAGGGTGAGGCGATTCAGAGAACGGCCTGAGCACGAGAAGCACGTGACTCGCACTCAACCTCACTCGGGGTGAGTGTGACTGACGACAATTAAGATGTGTAGCCGTACACCGCTCTGTGCCATCCGGCCGCTCCCTCGAATCGTGCTGGATGCATGATGGGCGGCAGTCGAGAGAGTGAAGCTGCACAGTTGTCAGTTTGAGTTCATCCAGTCACGCTTTGACGCGTTTGCGCGTCGCGTTTTTTGCGCAAAGGTTCCGCGGACATCCGCCAACAGTCACGTGAGTGTTGTTCAGGAGAAGCCTTGTGAAATTCTTCAGAGGGCGGAAATATTCTAGACATTCGTGATTCGTGATTTGAGCATGTCTTTCGACCGTCTAAAGCGACACACCCGCACGAGCTGGTGTGCTTGCTGCTTTGATCGGATCGGCCTTATCTACAGGCGCAGCGAGATCCTGTTCTGCCTTTGCGTGCGAGGCATCCAACAGGGCCGGGCCATAGTTGTACCGTAAGAAGCGTGAAACAAAGAAGAAGCAAAAAGGAAAAAAGGAAACGGAAACAAAACGAAAGAAAATGACGGCGGTAAGTGCCAAAGGGGTGTCCAGAGCGACAACTACTTTACAATCTCGAATCACTTGCGCGGCGGGGCTTTGAGGATCGTCGGTCAAGACCTGCGCGACACTGCGACGCAACAAAGTCCAGCGTTTCATGTTACGCTACATCCTCAGCACTCGCCTAATCCCGAAGATGTCCGGCCTTAGCAAAGCCCAGTCGTAGGTGTGTTCCTCTCCGATGAGGCGATCGCGAAGCACAAAGTCGAAGCGTATTCAAGAATGACGGTCACGGTGTAGACGTGCACTCGGCTTCAACGCACCGTGTGCAAAGCGTGCCTCTCCATTGCGGGGCAATCAGAGCAGCGCGGGGGTTCGCTATATTCGTCCAAAGATCCACACATCGGACGTAATGATCGACTCTGCGCTTTTCATTTCCTTTCACACGGCTTGACTCTCATCGATAGGAGCGCGGATCAAGGGTCTGTCGATGCGATGCGCGCGCGGCGATGCGACCGTGTCGCGAACCATCGCAAAGCGCCTGCCTGCATTGACGGGGCAGGTGAGCGTGAAGCTCACAATCACAGACGAATGAGCGGATGCCCACATCGGGCCATGTGAATTTGCACTCTGTGGCTTGATCTGTACGCTTCGGCCGCTGGTGCGCGAATGCTGCAGAGCGCGCACAGCTATGCGCCGACTACGAGCGGCTAATCACACTACCCATGCTAAAGCGCAAAAGAGGAGAATGATCATCGTTCAAAAGCTGTCGTCAAGAGGATCTGGGCGAACAAGATGAGGGTGTAGGGGTGGGAAAGATGGCATGCGATTGAAAAAAGGCGCGGGGATGGTGGTTGCGGAGAGTAGATGGGTGGGGGGGTGTGCGGATGGAATTAGGTTTGGTTGATGGATTGTAAAAGGATTACAGATGCAGAAGAATGGTGTAAAGATTCAAGACTGTCCGATCGAATGAAGCGAGCGGAGGGGAATGGCATCGAGTGATGGAAAGGTTGAGGAGGTTGATCTCTCTTCTCTCTCTTTTCGTCTCTCTCTAGTCTTCTGCCTGGTCCCGTGAAGCGACCTTGTGTCAGAAGATGAAAAGTGAACCTCTGTCTCTGCCCCTGCGCGTAGTCGTGATCGACCCGCTTAGTTGATGGGGAGAGGAGTGCAGCCGACCTGGACGAGGCCGTTGTGACGCTCGCCAGTGCAGCAGACGGGCTATGAGAAAAGAGGGTAGAGAAGGGTGTGAGCGTCAGGTGTCATTCTGGAAGGAAAAAAAGAGGCTCGGCTCGATCGCTCCCCAAGTGTCACTCACGGTCTGCTTGCACTGGTTGTCAACGTTGGCAGCAGCGCCAATGATGTTGATGGGGATCTTTTGGCAAGACAGACCAAGAGTTCCGACCAGGTCGGTGAAGCCGAGCAGAGCTCCGAGGTCCTTGGCGTCATCGCCAGACTTGGTGGTGCCGCAGCATTGAGCAGTGCCGACGGAGCAAGAGCCGGTAGAGCTGGCAGCAGTGTTGGTGTCTGGCGTAACCTCACCGCCGACTTGGGGAGAGGGTGCGGCCATGACGGCGCTGGCAACGAGTGCGGTGAAGATGGCGAAGCGAGCGAACTGCATTTTGATTAGAGTTTTAGTGGTTTAGAACCGAGAGAGGGGTTTTTTGAGAGAGAGAGAGAGAAGAGAGAGAGGAGAGAGGAGAGGATTGTGTTTGATGAGGAGAGATTGATTGGGAATGACGAGCTCGAGATGCTCCATCTTATACCTTTCGGAGGCCGTTTGTGCTCGAGCGCGACAAGGTACGAGTTGTGCTATGGCGGAACATGCTGCTGTGTGCCATAGCAACTCGACATGCTGGCGCTGAAGTGAACCGGCCAGCGCGCGTAGCACGCAGCGCAAAGGCTCGTCCATGTAACATCCTCCTGAGCATTAGGCGCTAGCAGACCCAAAGCGACACGACAGGTCGAACAGATCGTATTTCGATCTTTGCGAAAACGTGCCACTCCGCTCAAGATTGCCCCTCTGGGAGGGATGCACTCGCTTCGATCGATACCGCATCGAGTGTAGTGTATAGAGCATGCGGCGAGCATTTCTCCCGTCGACACACACGTGTGTTTGACGCTTTCTAGCGACAGCTTGGCAAAGAGCGTGACGATGCAGTGCATCGTTTGGGTCGAGGATATGGATGCGTTCGACACGCATCGGTCGCGCACATGCTGCGGGTGGGAAAGGATGGAGCATGGTGCGCTACTGTGATCTGACAGCATCCAGTCATGAACATCCAGAGATGCTGCATGCTTAGCGCTTCTGAGGCGGTCCAAGAGGAGCAGAGAGCCTCCTATGCGCCTGGCTCGAACCGAATGGACGAGGAGCATCCTTTCTGATTGTCTACTGTAACCCATTCCGTTCTCATGTACGTAGCTGGTCTCGAGCCGTAGACGCTATGTGGGGTTCAAGGTTCGAAGCTAGAACCCTTCGTCCCATGATCGAGGTTTTGGAACCCGAGAAAGAACTGCGCGCCGTACGCATGCGCCTGCTGACAAGATGATGTTGGTGGATCAAATCACAATCTGCCTGCATTCCATATTGCCCGATATGATGGGGGCAAAGGGGAGAGAGTCCCCCAAAGTGTTGCTGCTGCTTTGACGTGCAAATCGCGCTAAGAGTCGCGTTGGCGAGCCGCATACGGCACGGCACGCGCGCTGCTGAGCCAGAGAGGCTCGTGCAGCCAAACCCGCGAGCGAGTCCGAGAAGTCAAACGTCTCCCCCCGCCTCCCCCCGCCTC